GATCAAAAACAGTTTTCCGTGTTTGATACTCTGATCATAGTTAATAGAGGGGTTCCCCTCTATTAACTATGCTCTGATCAAAACACGCGGGATGTTGGGAGAACACGATGGGAGCGTAGGAAACCACGACGCGTAGCGGAGTGGATTCCAGCTTCTCGAGTGTTTTCCCTACATCACGCGTGTTTTGATCATAGTATCAAACACGAAAAACTGTTTTTGATCTGTTACAACAAATCAAAACTTCTATACTTTCTAATGTCCGGGCCAAAGTGTGAATGTTGTTCATGTTTGTTTGAAAGGTGGTTGGGTACAATTTATAGCCGACCGCATCAAGCTTGTTTATTCGCTTAGTTTATAATGTTGCTTTTATGTAATTGACATATGACACTTTCATCAAATATTTGACAATAATTGAAGAGTTTATAATGATTAATTTTGTTTTGAAATAGCGTTAAATAGTTTGTGTAAATGAAGCAATTTGAAAATAAAACGAGGGAAACACGCGGAAATTTTTTCTCTCTCTTAATTTTAATATTTCCTTGTAACTTTGATTTATTTAATGCTATTTCAAAACAAAAATAATTATTATAAACTTCAATTATTGTCTAATATTTGATGTAAGTTTCATGGTAATTAAATAAAAGCAACATAATAAACGAAGCGAATAAACAAGCTTGATGCGGTCGGCTATAAATTGTACCCAACCACCTTGATTGCTCCGTCCTAAAACATGAATTTATTTACTTACCCAGTCGCTCCTCCATAAGGGCTGGTCTTGTGGTGTATATCATTCCACGTAACAACATTAGAAGCACCAGTAGTCACAGACCTTCCGATGGTAAAAGTCAGCCTTGCATTGAACGCTTTCTTGAGCAAATCTAACACTTCTCTTCCCTCTGGGCAGTTGGGTAAATATGCTGTTCTTGAAGTTCCACTGTAATATTGTCCTGGATTTGGGTGTTCAGTACCTTGTGTTCCACTTGGGAAATGGTAGTCAATCCTAATGGTACCGTGTCTTTCATATCCCGGAAGTTTTAAGTAAGGTTCCAGAAACTGGTGCATGGTACCTTGTGGCATGTTTCCTGTGTGCACTCCATAGGCCATTCCACAGGTAGGACAAGCCTTGCGGTGCTGAAAAACTTGATCAATACACTTCTTACAGAATTTGTGTTTGCACTTCGGCAGAACTGTAGGATCATGGAATCCATCTAAACAGATCGGGCATACATCATCATTCTCTTTTTTCTTTCCTATAAAAAGAGAAAAAAGTGATGGATAGATGGATGGATATATACTAGATAATAAACGAATAAAACTAATATTTAAAAAAACGAGTTTGAATTTGTGGCAACGTATGAATGTCAATGGCTGAGAAAGCGAGTTTACGAATCCAAAAACTGTAATACAATCATAGCTGAAACTTTGCCTTTTTACTAATATCGAGGAGCTCTTTCGATATCTGGTGTTCATTTTGACACAACGTCTCTTTTTACGGGAGGTAGGGTAAGGTTACCTGTTGCTGCAAAAGGCCTATTCGGAAATGATAGGTGTGAGTGATGTTTTCAAAGTTTTTAAAATTGGACAAGGGTTTAGGCGAGTCAATTTGGGAACTTTCAAAACATCAAGAGTATCTATTATTTCCAAATTGCACTCGAGAATGTGCGATTTTTATATAATGCTCTAAACAAAATTGAGTAACTTAATTGGGACTCTATAGAGTACAATTTTGAATGAAAAAATGCAAAACTTTACTGTTGGGTTTAAAACCTTCAGTCGCTTTGCGAATACAGATACACTTCTTGCCTTTCGACGTGAATAAACGTTGACTTCCTTTACTCTTGCATGTCATCATGTCTCTTTTTGCACATTTTTTTATATCCTTTTTACACTTATACTTCGACACTTCTTCTTTTGACACGGTTGTCTTTTCTGTCACAATCCGTTTGATGTAGGCTACAACAGATTCACAGGAATTCTCCCATGTCTTCTTGTCCATCTTAGGTTCGTCACAACCAAGAACAATCTCCCCTGAACCTTCCTCCCACGTGTATTTTACTCGACTTTCCTGCAGAAGCAGGTCGAATTCTTGTTTAGGATTCTCGAACTTGTTAATGAATGCCATCGCCTCTGGATCTACTTTCTTAACTATTTCCTTTTTCCCTCCTCCAGGGTCGGCTGATGACTCACCAAGAAAGGGGTAAAACGGAACCACTTTCAGGTTTGCGCCATTTATCGTGTGATTGCCTTGAACCACGGTGTTTACAACTGAAACGAGTTAAAGTACAAAAATGACTAATCATGTGAGACTTCGAGTTTTTGTTTTCCCTTTACACAAGAGTGCTTTTAAAGTGACTCATATCATCTTGATTCCACC